CTGCAAAGCCTGAGAAAAGCACTGTGGAACCAAGACATGATGCTGGAAAAAGCCCTGAGTCCCACTGGCTGCAGACACCAGTAACTCACCTTAGGGAGGCTGCTTGAGGCAATGGCAGCCTGAGCCACAGACACTGCTTTGAGACGTGGAACACGTGGCCAAGAGTCCACCCTTTGTGCTTGTCACAATAACACACAGGAGATCCAACAGATCCCTCCCCAGCCCCCAGGCCTGGAAGGTGTGCTTCGAGCATTACCTTCTTCTTACCCCTCTGCTGCTACAACACTGCCAGCTGGGCCAAGCTGGTTCTCAGTGGTAAATGAGGATGTACATCCATGGTGTGGAGACAGCTCTGGTGGGGGGGGGCATCCTCAAGGGAGGTAAGCAAACACTGGGTATTAACCACTGGCCCTGTTAGCGCAAACCACCAAAGGCTCCTGGGAGAAAGGCTATTACAGGAGGGGAAGCCCTTGGGAGTTTATTTTGTAAAATGTGAGTAAAACCAGGGATGAACAGAGACTCCAGGGCAGAGATGGGGAGTTGTTCTGGCATTCCAGGGGAGCCATCCTCAGCTTCCGCACTAGCACAGCCCTTGCAGGCAGTCACAGCAATCCTCAAGAAGGTATGTTTCTCTCTGTCATCAATATTTCCCTGCCACAAATTCCCCTTTCCCAGATGACCCCTGGAGCAGGAACCTCTGTTCTCCCAGTATGTGGGATTAATGACAAATATCCTCTATATGGACACAGAGAAAAGTCTATCCCTTCTTTTGTAAAGATTTGCTCTGAAGAGTGATTCTGTGTTGGCCTCTTGCCATGTAAAGCCCTGTTTCCTGTCCCATGGCTGTGAATTTGGTGGATATTACACATACTGCTAACCCAGAGGTGTCAAGGTAAGCCATGTTGCTGTGTGCAAAACACACGTGTCAATGAGTTTGCAGCGAAGATTTCTGTCTTGTCTAGTGTTTCTTGCTCCTGAAGATCCTGAAATGTGGACCAGGTTTCTTGGAAGAAAGATTGAGGCTGTGTACCTCACTCAGCATGGGATTGCCTACCGCTCCCAAAACTTCAGCTGTTGCAAGAAAAACTGCACATCTGCAAATAAAAAAATGAACCCTAGTGTTCAAATTCTGCATTCATGAGTATTGTTGCCCAGAAGATATCTATCCTGTCTAGTAACAAAATCCTTGCTGTTTTCACTCTGCTTTGTGCTTACTGTCACTGCAGCTGAGCTTTTCTGTAATTCATCCCAGAAAGTTCAGAAAGCCTCAGGACCCTGGGCTGCAAAAGGAGAGACAAAGACTCACCTCTGCTCCTGAGCAGCATCTGCAGAGCCCTAGGGGTGTGCAGGCACAGATACCTCACTGTGTCCCACCATGTATCTCAGCCTGTGTGACCAAAGGGGTTCAGTCCTGCCATGTTACTCCATTGCTCTCAGGCTCTGGGACTGTGTTCTGCTTCTGCTGGATGGGGTTTCTGCTTGGGTCCCAGCTGGCGTAGGTCCAAGCAGAAGTAGGAGGAACAACTGTCGAGTAAAAAGTGTTCTTTGTGTGATTGATGACCTTTAATAGAGCCAGCCCTCTCACTCCCCTGGCAGCCCAGCTCCAAGCAAGGATCACGGGGTACCCACTGCTGCCTCTCATGTGGGAACAGAGAGACATTGCCAGTTCAGGGATTAGCTTGCCACTCAGTCCCTGAAAAGTGGCTGCAGGCAACAGAGCTCTGGTCTAGCTTATCTTGCACCTTTTAAAAGCAGAGGTACCTTGTTCATCGATGTATACCACCATGTGACACCCAGCCAACCACCACGGCCCTAACTGCCCTGGCAGCACCAGCCCAGCTCCAGTTTTTATTCCCAGTCAGGTCTGCAGTGGAGTGCTGGACATCTGGGTCTGTCCACCATGCAGCAGACTGTGCCTTTGTCAGGCTGACATTGTGTGTGGTCGCTGGGCATGGACAGCAGGCTGGCACATAGAAGGATGGCATCACAACCTGCAGCTCCTTTCCCCAGCTGCCAGCAAGGCATCTTCCCCACTGGTAGACCAGCAGCCCCACCACCTTGACCCTGTTTTTTCTCCTAGTCAAGTAGTCCTTCTAGTGACTGAACCTCCCTGCAGGCTGTTTCAAAGGGCTTCCCATGGGGCTGGAGAGGTGCAGACACCTCAGTGGTGGATCCTGCCTTCAGTCTTTCTGCCATGGAGCCCAAAAGACCCAGGTGGCCCTCAAGAAAGTCAGGGGACTTCTAGTTGATGCTGGTGGGCTCCCTCTTTCTTAGCCAGCCTCCTTCCTGCATGCCCTTGCCTCCTGGGATTGCAGCCAGCTGCCTCCTCTTCATCTTTGGATGCCTGCAGTCCCAGATGACCCTGGTATGGTCTTATGGTGGAAGCCATGGGGGTGCCCCTGAGTCCTTCACTAGCCTGTCCAGCGACCAGGGCTGGGAGCCTGCAGTGTCTGCTCAGGAACCACTTGCTAATGGAGCGGGAGGCATTTGGCTTTGTTTTTCCAGCCAAACAGAAGTGGCACCTACAAAATTGTGGCATCCCTGGAAGACCCTAGCTGTGCCTAGGTTCCTCTGCCCTGGTGCTGCTCACCAGGCCATGCACAGTGGGACACCAATGGGCCCCCCTCAGAAAGAAACGGGATGCTCAGCCCTGCACTGACAGCATGGAGATAACACAAAGCCTCAGCTCCTTTTTGCACTGGGGAAACTGCTGGAACACCATTAAGTGGTGGCTTACTGTAAAAACCAGAAAGTGGAGACCCAAACCATGCTGGTCCAAACAGAAGAATTTGCATGGCCTCACTGAAGTTTGGTGCACCCCTGACACCTCTCAACCAGTGCTCCCTATCCCAAATAGTGCTACATCACTGCCGGTATTTAGAGGCCCTGGCTCACTGACCCTTTTATGGGTCTGGAGCAGATGGAAGGAGCAGGGAAGGAAAGGAAGGGGTGCTTTGTCTCCTATTTGTAGAGAAAGGCAAGGCTGAGATCAGCCCCAGGCCTGGCCTTGGCTGACTAGTTGTGTTTTATATAGGTGACTGGAGTTCATCACATCAGATGCTGTTGCAGAGGAGCTGAGCTCCTGTTGAGCTTGAAAGGGGGTTGTTCATAATTTATGAGTTTTAAATGGTGGGCCAAGAAAAAGTCTGGCTTGTGCCAAAGTGTATCTCTCCTCTAGATTGCTGATGCTTGTACAAACATTGTAAAAATGCCAGCGATCTTGCTAAAGTTACATTACTTCTAATAATTAGGTTATCATCATGGACTTCTACTGCATTACAAACAAGACGCCTCTGCCAGAGTCATGGAGAGGAAAGTGAATTTATTTACAAGAAGATTCTCCCTCACTCATGCTCCTCCTCCCCCGCTAGAAACTATGTCTGCTAGCCCGGTTTTCCTGCAATATGAAAGCAATTCAGGGCAGTGGGCCTCAGTAACACTGTGTTTGTGGTCAGGGCTCCTCTGAACTCCCTCCCTTCCCCACATCTCTGAACAGCCTTTTCTTTCTTAACAGATTTAATGAAGGATTAATAGTGTAAGTCAGGGCAGATACTGTTTGGCTAACAGCCTACAGAGCACAAAGCAAAAGGGAAAAGGGCACTGGGTGTCCTGTGGAAATTGTGGTGCCTTGCTGTTTCGCAGATAGAAGCAGGTGATCCAAAATATATTGTGTTTCAAGAACACACAAAAAACCTACATGGACAATTTTGTTTGTGAGCACATTGATTGCAGAAAGTTTTAGAGAGACAAACATATGTATATATTTATGGCATATTACAGAAGTATAAACACAAGTGGTGTCCAGCATTACTTTTTGTGTTGTTTCAATGTTTTGTTTACTCCTGGGTGGTGCTTCTAAGAAACAATTTGTGTTAAAATTTCCATAGAATACAATTTTAGGGCTCTAAAGGGTTAAAATATGTCTCCAAACAAAGCAGTTTATTCTGTTCTGTTTTGTTTACAGATCTGTAACACGTATATCCAAATCTTCTTGGTTAAAAGTGAAATTTAACAAAATATACACTTTTCACTGTAGCATAGCATTGTTGAAATCTCACAGAGGGGAAAACAAAACCCTATGTAATGTTTTGCAACATTAGTGCTCAGCTGAACATAAATGCCAAATGGCGAGGAAGAAAGCAGGGATGGGAAAGAAGAATAAATGAAAGAAAACTTGTCTGTATTGACCAGGATGGGAGCTGGTAAAATATTTCTCACAATAGGAATGCCAGGTCTGTCATTAGAGGATGGAGTAGGAGCTGCAGTGTTTGTCAAACTGGAAAGTGATGCATCAGACGCTTTGGTGGGGAATACAGAAGTTTGGATTAATATATAACTCAACACTTTTAGAAAGAGATAAGAATAGTCTTCTCAGAGCGATATGTACTGTCAGGAAGAGACTTTAATCACAGCGTTTACAAAAGAAGTATCTCTGTAAATCCAGCGAGGAGTTCAATACAGCCGTGTAACTAGAGAGGAGGAAACACGAGGGTTCAGAGCATCGTTCCCTTTCTTTTTTCCTGTTTTTTTTTAATCTTCTCATTACTTTATTTTTTTCTTCCCCGTGTTAGCTGTCCTGTTTGTGGCAGGGAGAGGCGATGGTGCCCCTCTGCCGCGGTCAGGCGGGGTGGCACTGTCCTTGCCGGGCACCGGAGGAGCGCAGCGGCACCGCCCAGCCACTGCCTGCGCCCCATCTCAGCATCTCCCTTCGGCTGTGTGTATCTGATTGTCAATTTTCTTTCAAAGTTTATATTTATGGGAAAGGAAAAAAAAAAAAAAATAAAGGAAAAGCTCGGGCTTCCAAAGATGTCTAAAAATTGATTTATGGTTAGTATAAAGACAACAGTATAAAAATAACAAAGGAGGCGGCAGCTGCTGCGCGGATTGCTATGGAGACCCTAATGAAATTAGCACAATCAGAGGGTTTCTAATTTTTTTTTTGCCTTCTAAGCTTCTAATTTGTTTTCTATTTTGGATAGCCAGAGTATAATTTAAAAAAAATAAATAAATAAAAAGAAAGAAAATAGCCCATCAAAATAATATGCGCGATAGATACCCAGCCAATAAATAAATGCTAACCTCACCGAGGTTTTTATATGCAGGATTTGATCTGAAACAAGACGGCCAGGAGCCCCTCTTTGTAGATCGCCTCCTCAGAGCGGCTGCGCTTCCAACTAAAGGTGGCTTCACCCGGCCGAGCCAGCTGCCAGCCAAGCCACCGAGGCGCTCGAGTGGGGCCAGCCGATTAGAAATAAATACTTTAAAAATACTTTCAATATTTTTTAAGTGTAACGGCTCTTTGTGTGATGCCACAGTTTGTTTTACTCTATTAATGATTTACGACTTGCTGTCTTAATTAATCCTTACATAAACTACGAACACCAGCCACTGTTACAACTGTTCAAGACTACTCTCTCAACTAGCTCAGACCGATTATACTAAATAGGTGAAATGTAAGTCACCACGGACCTGAATCCCTCTCCCGAAGTATTGGTGAAGAAATTCTACAAATACCCACATAAATACATTAAGACGAGGATAAATAATCAGTGATACAAAAAATGTCTCGCTTAAAATAATAAATACATTATCATTTAGTCCAATGCGATCCTTACGTTACGGAAGAACTCATAAATTAACTTTTCTGAAATAAGCTTACGCGCGGGCGAGTTCCGACGGCTCACGACTGGTCTAAAACACCTCAGCATGACGCGCTGCTAACACTACAGCATCTCTAAGACTTACCTTCAAGTACATCATTACCAGCTTATCAGTCCCTCGGTTGGCAGTATATTGCACTGTCATGCTTAAAACAGCTCTAAGAGAAAGGCTCCTGCTCACGGACCTACTCGGGGCTGCGGAAGAAAGAAGGGAGCTGCTAAGGGAGACAAATCCACTGATACTGTTGGCACTAGAGAGCACAGTAACACTGTCCCGTCAGAAAAGTGAGGTAATGGAGAGGGGAGCGGGGCCCGCTGGCCGCCGCCCCGCTACAGATGCGTGAGCTTGGGCGCCTCCTGCATCCGTCCCTGAGAGGTGTGGTGAGAGGAAAGGTCCGTGTAGGTAGGGTGGGGGTCGCAAGGTCCGTGGTGGTGGCCGCCGGGGATCTGGGCGGCGCAGCTGTAGTCCACGCTGGCGGAGGAGGGGTGCTGCAGGTGCCCCAGGTTGAACATGGGGCCCGAGGCCGGCATCGAGTCCACGAAGTTGCCCCCCACGTAGACGGGGCTGCCCTGCAGGCTGGGGTTGGCGAAGCCGCCGCCGCCGCTCTGCATGGGATGGGGGTCGTACTCCGCGCCCGCGTAGCGCTTCTGCTGCGGCAGGCAGCTGCTCAGCGGCGCCGTGTAGGCGGCCAGCCCGTACATGCTCTGCTGGGACTTGGCGAACGAGGTGGGCGAGGGCGCGTCGTAGCTGAGGCTGTTGACGCCGGGGAGCTGGCTGGAGTAGCCGACGTGGTTTGGGCCGCTAAGAGGGGGGCTGCGGTCCGGAGACTGTCCGACGGGGGAGTGCATGATGCCTTTGGCTTTTTGGTCCTTTTTGTACTTCATCCGGCGGTTCTGGAACCAGATCTTGATCTGCCGCTCGGTCAGGTTGAGTAGGTTGGCCATCTCCACGCGGCGCGGCCGGCACAGGTAGCGATTGAAGTGGAACTCCTTCTCCAGCTCCACCAGCTGCGCGCTGGTGTAGGCTGTGCGCACCCTCTTGGAGGCCGGCCCGGGGGGGCTCTTGTCCTCGCAGCTCTCTCCTGCAGGGAAGAGGCACAAAGAGACATTGGTTCCCCCCACGAAAGACAGCCCCCCCTCCTCCCCTTCCTCCCGGGGTCCCTCGGAAACCTGCTATAGCCTCTCGCTCTGTCGGCGCCCGGGGAGGGGGTGCCGAGGGCCCGGGGGTGGCCTCCCGCTCCTCCCTGCCCGACACACACACCCTCCCGCAGCTGCCTCCCCCCAGAGACCACCCGGCCGGGCGT